ATGGTGGGTGCGTGTTTTTTTTTTCACCGTGTGAGGTGACCTGCTGAACATCAGCTTCGACCTGGGCGTCAGAGGAGACCAGTGGTACGGCCTGGTGCTCCTTGCGCAGCTTCGGGGCGAGGCTCAGGCCGCTGGTCGTCGCCGGTCCGTGGAACGGGGACGCCAGGTGCGTGGTCCAGTGATTCCATGTAAGTGACCATGCCAGGCCACAACACTCCAAATGGAAAATGCCTGGTTAACTACTGCTGGTTGAAACTCAAATGGAAGGCTGGTTACCCACTATACTGGCAACTGGGATCCAAGCTGTGTGTGACATTTAGACACAGCTGGGGGGGATCAAAAGGTCCATGTTACTTGGGATGCCAATTTGTGGAGAACCACGAGAAAAAGATACGATCTTTCCCAGATGGAAGAAGTTGCCCATGGTCAAAACTGGGGGCACGGACATGTGCGACAGCAGGGCTGGAAGCAAGTAAATTTTGACTTTGGCTTATGTGAGCAACAGTCGGCTATGGTAGAAAGCAGGACATGAGGCGCACTTACCAAAACTAGGAAATGCGGGTTTGCTCACCAAAATCCCTTATTCTGTTGGGGACACAATGAATATTGACGTGGTCCTGAGGGATTCTTCATGTAGCGACGTTCTGGGGGAACTGGACGCCCTGTGGCTATGATTAATTCAAGATTCAATAGGAAGGAGCATGAATCCCCATGTCAATCATGTCTACTTTTTTGTTTAGCAGCTCTTTCAGCCTCGCAAGGCCGCGCTGGGGCTGGTTCTGCGCTGCGGCAACCAGGCCCTGGAGTCTTCCGCCTTGCCAGTGAAGGACGGGAGTGCAGTGGTGTGTCCTTCTTGTCGCAGGTGAGTTTGTCTGAAAACACAGGCGTTTCACTGTTTGTTTGTTGGTTTTTTTCCCCCCTGTGAACCAGTATTGATTGGATAGATTGGGAAGGGTTTGATCCATCCCAGCTGTCGTGTTTTTTTTGCGTATTTCGTAACCATCAGTAGGTGTCCTTAGGAATTTGCTGCAAATAGATGGGGATTCCACTGGTTTCAGTTTGGTCCCCATTCGGACCCAAGGACAGGACCCGCCTGGCGCGTCCAAAAAACGCCGATGTGGGGTGTTATCAACCGTGGGGTTTTGGCCAACGGCATAGGACGAGAAAGGTGGAGGAAGCCAACCTACCGTCTGAGTAGTGTCAGTGATGGTTATACGGCAGTGGCTCAAAGTTAAAGAGCTAGGGCAAACGGCAGGTTTTGGGTTCCCATGTTTCCACTGACCAGGGCAACCCATTTTGGAATTCCGGTTTTTTGAGCCACACCCATATTGTTGTTATAAGTAGAATCTGTTTGTGGCGACACTGGGTAAAGCTAGCGGTCGGTCTTGATCCTGTACTTGGGGATCGATCCAATTATTCTTGCAGTTTTTGGAATTGTAAAAGTTATAGATGGGCTTGTCTCAAAATAGGGACTCCCAAAAGATGTTTAGTTTCCGGTAGGCTCCCTTTAAAACCCAGTGCAAACGGGTTATCAATGGTTTCTCCTCAACAACAAGACACCCACATGGGCACGTGGCAAAGGGAAACCCTGAAAGTACCTGGAGTCTCCATGACCCTTAAAAAATGGGGTCATTACCCAAAATAATGGGGTCATGGACCCATTTTTAAAGGGTCATGGAGAGTCTAGGTAGGCGGTTTCCTTTTGGTTTTTCATTAAAGATCCCTCCAAAAACACAAGCCGCGGTCAAAGTACCCGCACCTCAGCTGGCGAGGAGGCTGACGGAAGTGCCTTGCAGCTCCGCAGCGGCTCTGCGGCCACTTTGGAGCGGGTCCTTGGTTTCCTTCGCTGTTTTTTGTGGGGTTAGTTTGGGAAACCAAAGCTGGGTCAACGTTTGGGACCATCTTACATCTTTGCCCTTGACTAAATGATGAGCAAAGAAAATATATAAATCCCAGGCTTAGGTTTGAATGTTGACCAAGAAAGGGACATCATTGTGGGTACGGGTCAAAGTGGGGCCCAGACATCGATCCGGGCAAATTCTAACTGCGGTTTTTGCGGGCTCCAGGGTCTAGAAATTTAATTCCAGATGTCCAGTCAGAATTACTGCAATTCAGATCTATGAGGCCGCCTTAAGAAAATCAGCCCAAGCCAAGGGTCCCTTTCTCGCTCCAGGAGCTGATGGCGACTGATCCCTGGCAGCTGAAGCTTACGGGTCTCAGTGTGGGTGTGCAACAGCTGCGTGCCCTGGATTGCAACAAGTTGCTGAAGACAGGCGCTGTTTTTGTTGTTTCCTCTGTGTTTTTTCCGTTTGTTTCCTTTTTTTTGTTTTATTATTCTTTTTCGAGGCTACTTGTAGGGGAACTGAGAGGACAACCTGTACCTCTGGGCTCAGTTTGTACGGGAAACGGGAAGAGAACACCCGTGCCTTTCCGGCTCTGGACTGTGGGATGGCCATACCGTGGATGGACGAAATCCTGCACACCAAGACATTTTACAACGATGATTCCCGTAACGCACCAGCCATGGTTTCTGGTTTCAAATGGTGCGAAATGGATAAAATGACCACTTGGAAGCCATGGGATCCCGTTGGCTTCCATGGCCATGGCACTTCTCGCAGGCTCTCCGGAGTCCGAATGCCACCCGCTCGTTGCGTTTGAGGCGTCATCTTCTTGCCAGCCTTTGGGCCGCTGAGTTGGGCGGAGCCTGGGGCTTGGCCAAAAGGTCGCTCCGCCGCGGCCTGCCTCGAGCCTTCCATTTGCACAAAGGAGTACCTGGAGTCTCCGTGACCCTTAAAAAATGGGGTCATTACCCAAAATAATGAAATCATGGACCCATTATTTTCCCCTGCTGGTTTTAAAGGGAATCGACTCTACTACTGGTCATATGTTCTCATGTTTGGGACTTAAGCAAGTGGAAGTATTGGGCGACAAGTTGACTATCCGGCTAAATTGAGTCAGGGGCCAGCTGAAACTGGGCCGTTCGAAGGAAAGCAAAAACCCTTATTCGTTCAATACGTCCCGTTGGTGACTGATAATGATTGATCATGATGGTTTACTTTTGCCATGGTTGTTGTTGGGAAACATGTTACCTTGTTGCTTGCCGTGGTTTAGTGGGACATCCCCACTGAACTGCTGAAAATTATTTTGTTTAGCTCCCCTTCCAACGTCAACCAAGCTGCATGATTCCGAGCAGGGACTTGTTCCAATCCCGTCCGACCCTCGCGAGGTCGCAGACGGTCGCAGCGCAATACTGGTCCAATGCCGAAGGCAGCGGCTCTCCAGCGGCAAGCCGCACTCTATCAGGCGGTGCGACCGCACAATCCTTGACTGCTATTGGGTTGGATGTCTAGACTTTAACTTTTTGGGAAATCAACGGGTTTTCCACTAAGCCCACAGAAAGTTAAACTTTTTGCAGAGGGATCAACAGCAACCAAGAAGGCTTCCTAGACAGGACACACCCACACACACAGGAGGAATTTCCCACATTAGCGCAATGTGTGTTTTGTCACGAAAACACAGCTTCCTGGGAACAGTGCTGTTATAGAAACAAGGTCCCTGGACATGCAAACAGCCAGACTTTTGCGCTACTAAAACAGAAACACAAGTCTACATCGTTTGTCAAATCAATCTAAGGTTCGATAGGAGAGCAACATAACTTATCACCTCTACTTGAACCCCGTAAGGTACAGTCCAAAGCTTCACAGAAGCAACCCCCCAGAGAGTGTAGTCATGGGGATCGGAATTGACCGCTTTTCGCATCACGAGGAATTGACCGCATTTTGCTTGGATGTTAGGATTTTAACTTTTTGCCAACTAATGTGTTTTCCATTAAACCACCAAAAGTTAGTCACTTTTAGCAGGGGAGCAGAAAGCAACCGAGAGTTGCCAGCATGAATACGTCGGACCTGGGTGCGACCCTGCCAGGTGCTCGACACGTTCTCTCGGAGTACCCGGACTTACCTGCCACAGTGCTGGACGTGGTGCTGCCGTCGGCGTGGTCTCAGAGCCTTGGCTTCGTTTGGCTCCCGAACACACTTGTCAACATGCCGGTCGTTTGATCGAGTGTGTAAACATGCATATATATATATACATACATATACATAATATATATATATATATACATTATATATATAGACATATGGATAGAGGCTTCCCCCAAAAAACCCAACGCTCAGGACATCGGTTTCTGTATATATATATATATATATGTACATAATATATATATATATATATTTATATACACGTAATATATATATATATAGATATATATATATATATCTATACACATAATCTATATATACACATAATATATATATATATATGTACACATGCTACCCCCCCCCCTCCTCTGCAAGGGAGCTACCTTTTGCTGTTTGAAGGCGCTTTTAGAGGTGGAATGCAGTTGTTTCAGTTGGATTGCCCCATGCGACTTGACCAGCATCAGCTCACCCTAAGCAAGGAAGTCACTTTCAAAATCTAATTTGGAATAACAAGTGCAATTAGTTGTTTTTCTTTGAAAAGGAACTCCTATTTAAATCATTTTGAAAGTTAGAAAGTCTACTAGACTTATTTCCGCAATAGAATCCATTTAAACTGCACATAGAGAATGGAGAAACAGCTTTCTGGGAAAGGAAGTGTTCTTTAAAATATGCTTTGAAGTAAGAATCCCAATTAACAACAGTCCTTAAAAAAAGAACAACATCGAATTCAATTTTCTTGAAATCTAGAAGTTCTATTCGGTGTTATTCACCTTTAGTGTCTATTTGAATTCTAGTAGAAAGTTGACAAATCATCCTGGAAAAGGGCATCCCTTGAAAAATCTAATTTGACATGATAATCCGAATAAATAAGAGGTCTTAAACAATTCTATAAAAAACATCTTTAAAGCTAGAAATGCTACTATAATTTTGTCCTTCTTTAAATTTTATCTGAATTATGACAAAGAAATGCATCCTGTTTGAACATCGAATTTCAAATAAGAGTTTTGATTACAATTCTCCTTTGAAAAGGAAACCCCGTTTAGATATTCGTTAAACCAGAAACTATACTAGGTGTCTTTCCTCATTAAATGTCCATTTCAATTCTACTTGTAACATTGAACAAACACAATACTAGAAACATACACCCCCTTTTAAAAGGTTTCATTCAAATCTATGTTGAGACAATATTTAATCATTGAAACTTATGTAAATCCTCGTCGAATTCCTTGTGAACTCTAAGCAAAAATCAAACACAAGGCAAACACAATGAGTTTTTGAACAACAACAAGTTTGTCCAATGACATCCATTGAGCAAACATCTATAAGTCCGAGATAATGAACCCTAAACCCTACACCCTAAACCTGTCAATGCTAAACTGAGGTTTGGTCAGAAGATGCAATTGTAATGGAGCCACAAGTGAACCGGTAAACACTTACAAAACATTGAAACAATTGAGCCAATGGCCCACAAAAATAAAAGTCACATTATATGGTGAAATTCTGGAGCCAATGACCCAAAAGCAGACAAGTAAAAAGTAAAACAGTGAAAAGTAGAATCCAGAAGCCAATGACCCAAAAGTTACAAACGAAGAGTTGAAAAAGGAAAAGTAAAGAAGTAAAAGCAAATGTAACATAAAAGCAGCACATTCCAGTCCATGGTCCTGAAGTAAAATGCTTTGACCGTGGACTGAAATATTTCACATTCTCAACTTGTAAACTTTGGGTCATCGGCTCCTGAATTTTACTTGTTTACTTGTCTTATGTGTTTCTTTATTAAATTTGGCTCCAGAACTTTACTCTTTTACTTTTGGGCTATTGGCTCCATAGTTATACATGTTTACGGTTTCACTTTCGGGCCATTAGCTCCAACATAGCTGTTGGTTTGCATCTTCTGACAAAACCTCAGCTTGGAAATAGGACAGAGGTAGATCCAAATCGACTGAAGCGATCGGGGATTCCCTGGAAAAGTTTGGCCTGAAGCTTCCAGATTGTCTTTGGAAATGCGCCTTTCTGTTGCTGCGTTCTCCAAAGCCCAAAAAAGCAAGAAACCACTGCAAATACCAGTGAATTCTAAAGGAAGGTAGATCCATGGGGGTACCATACATCTATAAATAATTATAATATATATATATATGTATACATAAACGTGTTTGTGTCCAGGTGGTTCAAAAGGGAAGCCGCACGAACACCCATTCTTGGGTTGCCCTGCTGTCGAAAAAGCGCCACTGGGCGCCACTGAGCGGCACTGAGCGCAGCTGCGCCCGGTGGAAGCTCAGGCTGCGCAGCGTGCAGCTGAGCTTCGCCCTGAGCAGCGCCGCGAGCCCCGCGACCTCAGGCGGCCCTGAGCTTCGTCCGTCGAGTGCTTGAAAATGGACGGGTGTGGTGGTCAAAATTCAACCAGGGGACAGGTTGCAGTCCATGTTTCCATTCTCCAGGGTTCCATGTTAAATACCTATTTTTGACCCAACGGCCATATGGCTGTCAAAACCAATGGTGCCATTTTGGGGTAGGTGAATTGGTACCCATTTGAGAACCTATTTTAGTGAGGATTGGGATGTTCACTGGGGGCGAATGTCACAAAATGCTGTGCAGTGGTTCCCCCCCCCCTGCCCGCGGACCGTTGCCAGGCTTTGCTGGGCATAGCTATGTCTATGTTGAAGCGCGAGGTACTTCCCATGCAGCCACCCAGCTGATCAGAAACTGGCAGTTATGATACATCGAGCATGACAACTCACTGAGGACTTTGCCAGATTGCAGTCACTTCCTCAGATGTTTGCGCAGTCATCTTGCTGATCAGGGAATGAGGGATTGACCCCTATGAACCATCCCCAAAGGGGTTCCTACTGTGTGTGTGTGTGTGTGGATGGACGAAATCCTGCACCACCTAAGAAACCGTAGAGTGATGATTCCCCTGTAACTACCAACAAACAATGATTTCCCACGACTACAAAAGTGGTGCAGGATGTTGTCCATTCTCGATTAGTGCCAATGTCCGCTTCGGATCGATGCAAAGTGCGATCGCGTTCTGGCGACTCGGATTTCGCAGTTCATTCTCGGAACCCGTGGTTCTCAGTCGCAACTGGCTGTCGGAGCTGAAAAAATTGCGAGGTCTGGCGGTTCACAGCTGGCCTTGGCCCCTCCAAGCCTGGCACTGGCAAACTTGGCGTCGGTGCCCAAGCTGCGCAGCTTCCATGGCACGGTGCAAAGACGGCCCTCCCCCCCCCCCAATTAGTTGCCCTTTGGATTTCCCTCTGAAACCACCCCCTAGACAATGGTGAGTAACTTTTACTTTTTTAAATCTTAATTATTGTAACACCCGAAAAACTCGCCACGCCTCACACAAAAGCGCCCCCCAAATGTGCCAATGTGCTGCCAAGGCCAACCTCATTTATGGGCGGAGCCGCACAGCGTGCGCGTCTCGATGCGACAGCTGGCCTGTGCCGTCCATGACAGCTGTTCAATGCAAGGAAATGTGTACTGAAATGTGGGAAAGTCACTTGCTTTGCGGGTACGTTTCAAACGAAAAAGCACAAACAACCCAGCCTAAAGCTATTCCCATGCAAATGCTACGCATTCCTTTCCCAGGGGTCGACCTGCTGCTACAATTCGGCTTTGTGGCACGTGGGGCAACACTGACTGTCACGCCGGGGCCACAGCTTCTCCTTGCCGGATGTGATGTAATGGATCTTGAGACTTGGTGATGGAAATCTTGATCCCAGTTGTTCAGTGGTTGTACATCACCATGTCCCTACAGGGGTGATGCAAAGGAACCGGGCGGGGTTGCACAATATCCCCGTGGCACCGGCGAGCAAAAAGCTGCAGGTGCACGTCCCCCGGCAGGGGTTACATGCGTTTTTCGGGTAGGAGCGACAATAGAGTTGTGGGCGTGCCTCCGCCGACCGGCCGACACGCGCGACATGTAAAAGTTGTTCAGTGGTTGTCTCTTTTTGTTTGGTGGCTGCACTAAAAGAGAGGGGCACTGGACATGGAGCGTTTGCTGGCTTTAGTCGGGAAGATGCTTGTCAGTGGATTGTGTCACAAGGGACCTGTTTTCGCTACTGCAGGGCACAGTCCAATGTCCCTTGCCAAGGGCGCCAGCAGAAATCCTCATCACGGGCCACAGCGCAACACCAGGTGCATGGCAGAGCTGGGCATAGTCATGTCACAGTCATGTCACAGTCATGCCAAGGCGTCCTTTGCCAGGTGTGCCAAAAAAGGGAAACACGGCATTCATTGAATGCAGTGAATGCTTTAAAGTGGGTATCTGTCTGCCAGGTGCTGCAGTACACAGTGTGTTAGCCCTGCCTTCAGCTTTTGCGGCAGCATTTTTGGAGCAAGTGAGTCACAATCAACTGGTATTAACATGCTCTACCCAGACCAGTGTAAAGAACTACAAAGGCTGCGCCTAATTCTGGTTAGGACTGTCCCTTTCTCTCCTTCACTTTCCCGGGTGTTGATTATGGCTCAAGTGCGCTCTCCAACATAACGGCCACACAGTTTTCTATGCCTCGTTTTAGCCTGGGGGGTAAAGGAACCCTTCTTGGAATAAAACACCTGGTATCACCGAAAATCGGTGGCTCGCAGCTGTTCCTCCGAACCAGGAAACGGATACCCAAGGCTGCACAGCGATCGCCTTTGCCAGAGCTGGTAGGCCAGAGTGGTTTGCTGGCATGTCAGCTGCTGATTTGCTGATCAACGTGATATTATTGGCGCTCAGGAACCGTCAAAGCTGCATGAGCATCGGACAGGGCAGCTCCAAATACAACCTAACCAAGAAGGAGTCTGGACAGCCAAACACAGTGGCAACTGGGTATGAATTTTGATCAGGGACCTTGCGGTCATGCACATAAGCATGTACAGTTGGGTGAAAGTAGACACAATTCCTCCAGTTTGATTTCATGCGGCTTACTTGAGGGGACCGACTACGAGAACTCTGTCTGCTTTTGCCCTGGTGTATGTCCGCCTTGTTTGGTGTGACGAAAACCCCCCAGGCGAGTTCAACGGCAACACGGCCACCCTCACTGTGAGCAGCAGCAAGGTCTTATGGCAGGCCAGAAGCAGAAGTTCAGGAACTCGCCAAAAGCGGCCCAGCTTTTTTTTGAAGCCTTTTGTTGAAGCCGGGGGATCTGAGGATAGCCCAGTCTGATTTGGGGTCGGAACCCAAATCCCGCGGAAAAAAACACAAAACCCGGAGATTGCAGTTCTCCGGGTGTGCGAAATTTTGAGGCCGAGCCGGGGTCACACAAAGAGCGACCGCTCAGAGCTGTGCACGCAGGCAGCGACCTACACGCACTCTCTCATCGCCTTGGCCCAAGGAGATACTCTGCAGATGAACATGGAAACCCCAAAACGATGTATCGCAAAAAACGGCGTCCCTGAGGCTTTTGATGGCCGGGCTGAACCATCAGACAGCATGGCCTTTTTGTTTGTCCGTCGCAGCGTTGCCATGCAAACTGCGCAGGCATTGGTTGGGGTTATCAATTAAAGCGGGACAGCAATTGCGCCCGAATTCGTCAAGAGCTCGTGAAGCGTCACCGAGGTTCAGAACCCGTACTCCATGGCATCAGGAATCACATGGCCCCCTGTGCCTGTTGCTGAGAGCAGTTTCTTTGCGGCTGCTTGGCATCAGGGTTCCCTGCTTTATGGTCATTGAGAGCAGTAAACAACAACAATCACACGTGGCTTGGCATCAGGGCGCCCTGTTTTATGGACCTCCAACCAATCAGGCTCGGGAGTTAGAAAGGGTCCCTTTCCTCAGGTAACCCTTTGGATTTTGTTAGACCTTAGGGGTTCCTGCCCTTGAAAAGGGACTGGGGGTTGCCCCCCAAATCGATCCAAACCGCCAATTTTGTTCGGGATAGCTTCGCATACGCCGGCCAGGTCAGTGACGGTGGCCTTTGCTTCAAGTTTGCCAGAAACAGGCGACACAATGCAGGTCCAGAAGGCGCACCGTGTGTTTCTTGAGCGACCCGGACTTGAGGTTGGTTTAATGTTTTTTTCCAAAAGGAAAAGGACAATTAAAAAAGGGGGCGACCCCTATTTTACCACATTGTTCACCTCGCTTGTGTCGGAAAGTTCTTTGCGAGTTTCGCTTGAGGAGTCAGAGTTGGCCCGTGTGTGAAATAAAGTTCATGAAGCCCCCGCAGACGACAACCTTGGGTATTCAAGTGGAAGGGCAACACATGCATCTGCTTTAGGGTGAAAATCAGCGCTAAACGCCGGTGTGCCAACAAGGGCCCTCACTTTTGTTCTCCATGCGAGGACATTCTGCTGGAGGATGGAGCCTTTGCGACAGTGCCTGCTTTGGAGACATGCTCGCAGTCACCTCAGCGACCATTTTTCTCGCCACGGAACCGGTCAGATCCGAGTGTCGGAGGCTCACACCTTTGTCCATGCGGCTGGGCGTGCTACTCAGATGCGCTTTGAGGAATGCGAACATGTGCAGTCTGGTGCTGCATCAAGAATCAAGTGAATGTGGGCTGGCGGTGAAGTGACTTGCCTCCGGCAAGCGATGAGTCAGCGCAGACAAGGTGCTGAGCAACGAGTGCAGGCTGGGCAGATCCAAGCAAGCATAAGCAAGAACACTGATCATTGTGATCATGGCTCTAGTTTATATTGGTGTTTTACGGTTATATTAGTGTTTATACGAATTATGGTTTATACTAGTGATTATAGTAAAAGTTGATATCAGTGACTGTTGTTTGTTTTACGTCTATGAGTCAGTTGGCTGATGTGTCGCAAAGAGCTGGACATGTATTCCGAAGCGATGTCATTTCATGGCTTGTCCGGCACAGCTAGCAAGGGTAACTACAACGGAGTATGGCGTGTGGGACATGCATGTGCGGATGCCGGATGTTTGCGGATGAGGTATACATGGACATGTGCTTGTCAGACGAAAGCATGCATGTGTAGCGGTGTCCTGCTTTTGCAGGTCCTGTTCGTCATGCCAAGTGCGCATCTTAAATGTTGTCCGCGCGCGTGTTGGGAGTCCTGCTCAGCCGCCAAAAGGGCGAAGGTTTCGACACCAAATCAGGGGGGGCTTGGGGCAAGAAAAGACCAGCGGCGTCAAGACATGTGACACAGTTTGACAAGATCCTGTGCCTCTTGAGCCACAATCACAACCCGAGTAGGTGAAGGTTAAGGGATAATCCCAGCCAGGAACAGTTGCGCCCACCTTTTTGGGATTTGGGTAGACCACTGACTCATTTGGTAGGGTTTCGTCACTCACAATTGAAGGATGTCGTCCATCAGTGGGCGTCGAGCGGAGTCCCAGAGTTCTGAGGCCTCGATGTCACCAGCAGCATTCAGCCCTTCGCGCTGCGAGTGGTTTCGCTCTGCCCTGATCTTCTTGACATGGATCTCGTTTAGAGTCTTTTCAACACTGCGGAAGAAGACAATCCGAATGCCCTGCAATTTGCTACAAGTTGGTTGGTTGACTTCTTGAATTGCAATTTTTTGGACATCCGCTGTCCTAACTCCGGCCTCTTTGAGGCCTTCTACATTCGGGTTCCTGGCTCCCGCAGACTTCCGACCAATGCAGCCTTCCAAGTCGTGTTAGCGATGTGAGTGCCATACATGGTATATTCCTTTACCACGTTTCGGTTGAGTATATCCGGAACAAGGGGAGCTTGCAGTTGACTTGCTGAGGCGCAACTTGCCTCCTGCTCCGGCGAGCAATTGCTTGGTCCCGATCCCCAGCTTCGTGAGTTGTGCAAGTGGCAGTTTAGTTGGAATCGTCCGAGGTGACAGCACCGCAAATGCTGCTTTGCGTGCTTCCGCTCGATACTCAATGGCTTTGCTGTACGAGAGCCTGCGAGATGTGAAGTTGTTTGTGTGTATGGAGGCAAGTTCTTGTCGTCGGATCGAGGACTGGGTTTCTCTTCCGCCCGGGTCTGGAGTACGGATTCGAGGCAAGTCTCCCACATGATGACGCACCGCTTTCAGGGTACGGCCGGCGCACTCGTATGTAGGTGTTCTGGGGCCCGGTGAGACCAGTCGGACTTCAACTGTGGGGACTGATTCACAGTAATTTTGAGCGTCAAAGGCAGCGGCAATGCATCAGGCCAGATTTTGACTTAGTGTGTAGAAGGAAGTTTTTGGCTTGCCAGTTGGTCGGCAAGTAGTTGCGACGGCTCATGGAAGCAGCAGGGCTGGCTTGCAGAAGACCCACGAGCACATTCCCCTGACTGCTTATATCCATTGTTTCTTCCTTATTTTTTTCGTGTGAGCTTCCTGCACAAATCACTGGCAGGCGGCGCAGAAATCAACATGTGGACATCCAAATGTCCTGACTTTCTGAACAGGCGTGAGCAAGCGAGAGACCTTGTTTTGGATGGTCCTAAAGGGAAACCAAAAGCAGACAAAGGAAACAACCCATTTTTGCTTGGGGGGAGTCCTCTATTTTGAGAAATTGCCACACTTCTTTAATTACTCACCTCACCAATTTGCCGGCAGGTCGCTGTCATCAATCCACCCAGTCTCGAGGCTAAGCTGTGTCGAACGTGTCAGGTCCGGGACCGGTGAAATGTTCCGCTTCCCAAGCTTCACGCTTTTTCAGACATTCGAAGGGCAAAGTGCGCACGCGCTTGGACGATCGCGGGCGGTTTTTTTAAACGTGGTTGTCAGGATTCCTATTGCTGAGCTACTTGAGGTGTTATCAAAAAAACATACCAGTAGTGCATGGAAGATCCGTTGCTAAAGATCGCCGCAAAGTAGTCCATTTTGCCTGCAGGTGGCACTCAATGGCTGGGCCGAAAGCTCAGAGCGACAAGTGGTGTATTCCTCGGATGGGCTGCGCCCAGGAAATTCAGCCTCAAACAAAAAAACGAGTCGAGTCTAAGCCCTGGGAGCTTCCATGGAATCGCCTGGGCTAGGGTAAGATGGTCAATTGGGACCATCTTACATTGCCTGGACTAAATGGGTGTGGCTCAAAATCTAAACCGGAGGGGCAAACGGCAGGTTTTGGTCCATGTTTCCACTTGCCAGGGTTCCATTTTGGTGCCGGTTTGAATGTTGACCAATAAGCCTCGTGTTGCCTTCGCTGTCTGCAGGCGCTGCGCCTGGAAAGCAGCGATGCGCAGCCGCTGCGATCCACCTGCGAGGCCAAAGATCCGGCCCAAAAAGCCACCTCGCAGCTGGCATTCGATTAGATTGCTTCGTCGATACAAGTGTCTTGAAGCAAGGGATCCCAAGAATGAGAAGCTTCAACTGGTTTCCCTCTCAGACTACCACTACCACCAAAGCGTCCCTCAAAAAACCTCACATTCACCAGCTGAACCCATTGCCTGGGGCCAACAAACAAATCAAACACCAGCTCAGCTAGAGGATCCTTAGATCGAGGCCATGACAATTATCTTGTGTTCGGATTGACATACGCTGGATGCCAACTAAATGTTGCAAGGGGACAAGGACACTTGGCAGCGTATGGTTGAGATTTTGGTTGGTACTTCAGATTTCTTCCAACTGGTATGGTTTTGGTGGCGGACAAAACGCCCAGTGATATGGTCCGCTGATTGGCGATGCAGGTCTCGGCATCCGTAAGGGGTCCAACCCGAGCACCAGGATATACCTCAGAGCCCAACGGATACGAAGCCTGCGGCTTAAGGCTCGCCGAAATCCAGAAATCGCACCACTTGGAAAACACGGGAAACCATTGGTTGTTGGTATTTACAGGAGAATCACCATTCCAGGGTTTCATAGGTGGTGCGAAATGGATTTCGTCCATCCACAGTAAGAATCCCTGGTGTCTGATGATTCGCCTGCAAATACCAACAAACAATGGTAGCCCATGGTTTATGGTTTGCAGGATTTCGTCCATCCACATGGCTGTGTTCCTTTTGGCTTCCCGAACGAACCTCGAAAAGGGTACCCAAAGAAATCGCGTCGCATATGGAACAGAGAGGCAACTGAGATTTGTTGCCTGGAAGATCAAGCAAAAGTCGTGAGGCATATTTGTCGGCATGTATTTTGACTGCTTCTAGGGGTTGCAAAAGTGAGGAACCGGGGCAACCCGCCATTGAGGTGACTTTGACAATAGGAAATTTTCGGAAAGAGGTACTTAGATGGTCTGCGACTTGGCTAAATGGTTAGTAACCCTAGTTACAGGGGACTTACAACCATAGTAAGTAGGTTACAACCAGGGTTACTAGTCCTTTAGCGATTCCTCCCAGACCATCCAAGTAGGAGGACGCCAGATCTCGCCGAATGCATAGCAAGTTTTTCTGAGGTCCTTTGCGCTGTACAGCTCTGAGATGGACAAGCGACTCTTCTCCGTTTCTTTTGCAGGCCGGAGTAAATCTCATGAGCCACACGCAAAACCCGGGTAGATGAAGGTTAGTAAGGGATACATATATATATATATATATACATATGTAACCCCAAACATAAATGATTGCAGCCGCCTTCTTACTTCTTTACACAGTTCTGGGTAGACGATTTTAATATCGGGTGTTAATTCTGACTCTCATGGGGCAAAGCTCGGAAGCCCAGAGGAGTGCCCCGTCCAAGCTCTTCCACAGCTGTGGTTGTGGTCTTCCAATCCTCGCGTCTGTCGGATGCTCAGCCAACTTGAGACGACCGTGGCCTGAGAGCAATGCTTTGAAAGTTTTGAGTCGTTTGCATGGGGGTTTTGATCTGCCTGAAATGTTTTGAAGAGTCATTTGGAAGTGAATTATAGGCTAGTCAATAAAGTGGGGGAACGACCAAATTGGGGTCCCTTCACATGTAAGGGTCCCCTCAAAACAGACACACACACACACAAGCACAAGCACAAGCACATGTCACACGCACACATATTATTATATATATATATATATGTTATGTTATATATATATATATATGTGTATTGTTTGCCATGTTCCACTTGCATCCACGTCACTTCTCACCTGAGATGAAATTGCCTTGAGCACCTGAGAGCAAACAGTACAACGACGGTCTATTTTTTGGGTTTTCCTTTAAATCACTATCCAAAAGGCTTGAACTTCAAAGGGGGTGCATCTTTAGATGCAAGTCGAAGCGAGAGAGAGAGAGAGAGAGAGATGTAACAGATAACATGCGTTTTAGATCTGTTTGAAAAGGGAATCCATTGGGAGCGCACCGATGTGTGGGGCTCGCCACAGTTTGAAGTGGACGGCTTTTTTTTGGCAAGGCCTACCAACACGTGGTTGACCATCCGAGCTCCGCCACACTGGCCTGATGCTGAGTAAGTGTGGGGCAAGTTGGGTTGTCTCAAAAAAAAGGCCTCTGGTTTTCTTGAAACCAACCCCCAAAAAAGGGTCCCTCGAAAAATAGATCCTTTCTTTGTTAGAGGAGGGCGGTTTTTTAGGGATACATGTTGAGGCAGGAAGCCAGCCTGCTTAAAGCGGGGCCTTGCCAAAGTGTCGCCATCCAGAGATAACCAACCCTCAACAATATTCATGGCGTGTCAAAATGATGGGGCAAAAGCGGCGGTGTCTGCCTAGGGCTTTTCCTTACCGACCTAACATATATATATATATATATATTTAAAAAACGCTCACAGGGTCCCTTTCTGATTTAAAAAGCACACATAATGTATAATGCGGGCTTGTTTTTTTCTTGTAGGATCCCCCTTTTGGTCGGTTTTCGCGGAAAACCAGTGAGAAACCGCCCATTTTTTTGGTGGACCCCCACTTGACGGACATGCAGAAAGCCACGCTTCCCGATGCCATTGATTGGGTTTTCCTTAGGTCCCAGGTGTTGAACCCCCATGTCACGGACCGTTTCTGCACAGGGGAGTATATGATTGGTGTGGCTGAAACCTAAAGAGGTAGGGTCACGCAGGTTGAGTCGTTGGTTCCATTTGCCGAGCCATTTTACATGTACGAATTTTCGAGCCACGGCCATATTTACCATCATTTTCTGCAGGGGGAGGACATGGGGATACAGGAGTAGCTCACCGTAAATTCCCATCAATCGGGGACACTAACTACATTAATATGACTATATATATATATATATATGCAAGCGTGTTTGACAACATAGGGACACCCAAAGTTGGTGGCGTTCCTTTGTTTTTTTTCTTGTAACACCCCAGAAAGGGCAGCACCTCAAACAAAAAAAACACCACGCCTAAGAAAACTGGCCTCAAGCCCTCGAGGGTGTGGCAGCCGGCTGGCCTGGAGGGCAGGCGGGAAACTGAGAAAGAATTGGTTCACAGTTGCTCGGGTTTCTATTTGGGAGGGACATGGGGACTTACAGAATGTCCATTTGCTGAAATGAACATGTGTTTTATTTTTCCCTGTTTGTTTTGAAGGGAATCTATGGCTATTGGACATAGTCAGGGGGGCGCATTCGCAAATGGAAGCGGATTGTTCCAGCCCAAGCTGGGAGGAGGCCTTGTTGCACTTCTTGCCCACTCCGGCTCGCTCCACACGCAGTGAAGGTCGGCCATACTGCTGCGAGGCACCACTCACGACTTGCTGACGCCTGAGTGGAAGCTTTGCCGACGCAATTCTGCCCATTAGTTCGACGTTCGACGTTTCCGGGGGTCCTGGTTTGGACCATTTTCCTTTTAAAGCCGAACGTCAGGTTCCGGCTGTGAAAAGGGTGGGAGGGCATGCCCGCCTGCCTACCGGAGCGAGGCCTTTGCCTACTGACACTCATCAGGCAAGGATGCATGGAAGAACACTTCAGTCGCATCCTTGTCACTTTGCCAAGTGCAGGTTGTGGCCAACGCCTCAGCCCTGCCTGCACCTGAGTCAAGAGGCAAAGCAGCAAAGTGCAGCAGTTGCTTGAGCTGGTGAGGTCTGCACAGCTGACTGCGGCACTCGAGAGTGGCCGCGTGTATGGACTCCAGGCCATGTGAGCCACAATCAAAAAGTATCTACCCAGAACCAACTTGCAAGGCCGGATATCCGCACCCATGTCTGGTTGGGATTGGTTCTAACTACCCTCCAATGTCCTGGGTTTTGCGCACGTGGCTCATGTGATCGCATGGATCTCTATGCGCAGGCAGAGATCCTTTTGCCCACCGTGCACCTGGCGAGTTCAGTCAAACGCGCCTCTAATTCCCCCGAGTCGGTCTAGGTCCCCCGGGTGGGAGCGCTAGTTCACACGGAAAGCGCTGGTTCATCGGAGCGAGCCCCTTGTTGCCAGTTGCCATCAACATCAACGATCTGGCACCATCCTTAGCCGAGAGAGAGAAGCTGGAACTGGTTTTGCCTCCAACTTTGGTCCAAACAGAGTCACAGTCACTGGGCCAAGCACGCGCGCACGCACACACGAAAAAGAAGAAGCTCGAAAAGCACCGGCTCGGGTTCTCGACAGAGGTCTGTGGAACTGCGAGGATCTGCCCCCGAGGACTACACCCCCCGTCAGACAGTGAGAGGGTTTTATGTCGCAGCTTCAGAATATGGGGGTTGATCAATATTCTCCTGAAGGCCCTCACTTGTTTAATTAGACCATGCAACTTGTCCCATGTGCCTAAGATATCGTACGTATCGTTTTAGTTGTTTTCCAGCCAATGGTCACCCCATGGCCAGAACCTTTTGATCAACCCCCATTTGGCAAGGAGAGCGCGCTGGTGTCTGAAGCAAACTACGAGGCTTTGTCAATCATGAGCAGAACAGCTTGCGAGCTTTCCTTGATCGCAATCCTGCCTTTCACCTTAGCTCTCAGAGTGTGCGTTGCCGAGTCGCCGGTGCTTGTAGTCACTGTGCCTGGCAGGCGGTGGTAGACGAGTTCAGCAACCTGCGAGTGCCGGTGGTTTCTGGATGCACCGCCTGATCCTCGAGCGGGCAAGCAGGAAGCCAGGTGCGTGGTTGTCGTTTAAATTCGCAGCTAGGTGGGCACGGGCTCTGGAAGATGTGCCAAACAGGCAAGAAATGGAAAGCGCGATTGTCTCATGGGTAGTGTTCCTTTGTTTCCTTCAAAACACAACCCTCAGAAGGAGGCAACATGCACCTGGGTTTGTTTCAAAAATGATGGCCCCCCAGCCAAGAAAAAACACAAACAAACAAACAAACAAACAAACAAACAAGCAATATTCAGCAATATTCAGCAATATGCTTGGTTTCCTGTGGCATTCCTTATAAGGCCAACCAAAACCTGACTTCCCGAATCCCTGCACTTAAACACTTTCTTGGGGAAGACCATGTTAGTTGTAAACATTTTTGGAGTTGCCAATCCAGTCAAATTGTGTGTGCCTTTTGTTGAGGGCACCCCTTATTTTTTTTGTTATGGCACGCCGAAAGGAACTCCAAAGCCATGGTTTGGGAGGGTCCAACCTTTAAAAAGACATACCCAAAGGCGAAACCGGGTTCCAAGCAAAGCGACCCCTGAGAACCTTCAAGTCGGAAGTCGGGGTCTCGAGGCTGTTCCGAGTTCCCTGCTCTCGGGGACCACAGAGGTCTTTGTGAGCACCGAGCTGAGCCGAAAGACCCACGGCGTGTCTTGTAGGTTGGACCCCCCCAACTTGGTCTCAGTGGTTCAAAGCGACTCGATCTTTTCACCTTTTAGGTGTTCCGTCTTTGGTTCATGTTTAGCGGGGGTCTGAAAAGGTGAAGCTTGCTTTTCCAGGTGCTTTGGGCAGGTGAGTGGTGGCGTTCCTTTGGATGTTCCTCATCTAAGACAGGGGTACCAACTCAACAAGAAGACACACACACACATTTTTTGGGGACTGGTAGGGGTGATCATGGACCTTGCGGTTTCAGGCAACCACGAGAAGGATTTATATAACGAGAACCATGACCGTGGCCATGAGTTACGGACAAGTTCGCTGACTATTCGTTCAACTGGGTCCCCTGGGTTGGCCCCCCATGTCCTCCCTACAACAACAGACGACCAGCAACATTGTCCGTTGCTTATAGGTGTGGTGACAAGCCCAACAATGGCATCCTCAGAAAGAAACACATCCATAGTTCACATTTGGCCCTCCCCCCTGTTTGGCCTAATTGGTCTGTTTGGGTTGCCCCTTTGGCCCCTAAGAACTGAATCCCTGTCCAAGGATCCCGAACTTAACTTCCCACAACCGCATGCTCATTGAAATGACCCTCGGAAAGGAAGCAATGGCGAGTTTGTTTGCTTAGTTGGTACCATTGTTCTTAGTTTCAAAGGGCAAACCAAGAGGAAAGCCAAGAAGGACACCAAGAGGGAAACCAAGAGAAGAACTTGTTTTTTGGAGGGTACCATTTTTGGGAAGTCCAACGCTACAAAAGACATCCACGACGTAATTGGGCCCAGGCTTTTCGCTGGTCTCGGCCTTGCCGGGTGAGATCCAAGTTCTGCTTCCGCCTGGCTTTCTGGGCGAGGACGCGTTGAACCGTTCGGCACGCGCCGTCCCTTTTGGTAGGGAAAATGACCGAGTGAGGGCTGAAGGAACCTGAAGGCTAATTCACTTAAAGGAAACTCAGCAGCTGGATGTTTTTTGTTTTGTTTTTCTCGGGTCATTCCATTTCTCGTTCCCCTGCCTTTCGGTTCAGCGAGTGTTTCTAGGTGAAGGGAAGAATTCAGGAGAAACGACGCCCCAGATCTCTACTGCTATTGGGTTGGATCTTTAGACTTTAACTTTTTGGATTCCCTTTGCTGGTCCTTGTAACCAGCAGAAGGTTAAACTTTTTACTGGGGGATCCACAGCACCCAAGATATGGACCTCCAACTTCATTCTACCAATGTGCTACAGAAGCTGAAGGAGCCTTGCGAAGATTCCCTGGCAGCTGTGCCACTACCTCCCGGCATTGAAGCGTCTGGCTATGCCCAGCGCTCGGCCTCCAAACCAAACCTCGGGTTCTGAAAACACGGAGAGTAGGGGTCCCCTACAGTGTTCGAAGCTTCCTTTTGTTTCCCCAATACCAAAAGGGCTCGAAGCACCATTTTGAGCAACTCTCAGATGCTTGTATATGCTTGTCATTGTTGGGTTGAGCCTGTTTGCGGCTGAACGTAGGCGACTTCAGATTTTTGGTGCCTTGCAGAGGCGTCGGTATCCAAGGTGTACCCAGCTTTCACATCACTTCCTACGAACACGAGCTGCTCCTGGAATACTACAGGCGAATCGGAGGGATGCCCTGCGTTTGAAGCGCCCCAATTCGGCTGGGGCACCAAGCTTTTTGGCCAATGGGCAAATCTTCGAGGCCTTTTAATTGGGGTTTCATCACAACATTGAAGACGTCCTGCAATCAAATACAAAGGTAAAGCAATTTTAGTGAAAGTAATAAAGGCAAACCAAGTATGTTACAGCTTGGCATATTCTATTTTTGAAGGTTTTGCTTCCCCGAAATTTGGTTTATGTCATCTTAGACCTGACTGGACCGCCTTCCTTTGCTGGGGCGTTGTCTTTGAGGCGGCCGGGCAGTGCTGAAGATCCAGGGCGGCTCCGTGGGTGCCGTGCGGGCGGCCTCAGGCCCCTAAAGCTTAAGAGTGAACTGCGTCGACATATGCCCAGTTGCCCACTTTGTGTTTGGGAAGGGTTCCCCTTCAAACTCAACCAACCAAAACTATGGCCACTGGGCACTGGGCATTTGTGTATGGCTGTGGCTCCAAAAAAATGTACCAAAATGGCACCTTGGTAAATGAACCAAAGACCAACCCCTGCGTATCCCTCGTCATAGAAATATTGAGCCACACCCATATCCATGCAAATCGTTGAACTTCGGACAATGGTTCAAGCGGGGCCCATGTCTTCGAGCGCGCACATGAAGCAAAGGATCTGAAATCCTGTGTTTCGACACGTAAACGTAGCATCTGATTTGCAGAAGGATGTTCTGTGGTTGTTTATTTTTCTCCCGACAGCAAAAAAAGCTTTGGTGTCTTTGCCCACATAGGCTCCGGAGTGGTTTGGAGCGACTCTGGGCTAGGGTTCCGGAAAGGGTGTTTGGGGAAAGCAGTGATACTTCTTGCTCAAGGACCAAGTCGCTGTGTGCCTTTGGTTGCTTTCAAGATGTGCGATGATCTTTACAACTTCTGTGCTTGAGCGCAGCGATTGAGACGTCTCAAGCTTTGCTTGCTGCATCTTGCTGCTTTGCCTTTGCTTGGGCCCAATGCGGTGTGTGTCCAGCCAGCATTGACAGGGACAAGCTAGACCTGTCATGAGCAAGAGACAACACTACTGGTAGTCTGAAGAGGACAAGTTTCCTATATCCTCTTGGGCACAAGTCATTTGGGTATGGGTCAAAATTAAACCACCAGGGGACCACAGGTTTTAGTCATTGTGTCCATTTCCCAGGGTGCCATTTTAGGGTTACCCGATTTTGGACCCACAGGCATATGGCTGTGGTTGTCAAAACCAATGGTGCCATTTTGGTGGGTAGGTGAATTCACCACCCATTTTAGAACCCATGTTAAGTGAATTCGCACAAGTTTCCATATCTTCTTGGGAAATAAAGTCATTTTGTCCGTGGCTCAAGACACGACCAAGCCGAGCATCGGTGAATTGACCGAGGTCGCACCTCATCGCGGTCAAAGTGAGCATACCACCGGTCGATCAGGAGGCACCTTACATGCGACTCCCCTGCAAATTAACCTGCCACCCCCCCCCCAAAAAAAAAAGAAGAAGAAGAGCAAACACAACTAGAGAATAATAGTACAAGCACTCACAAAACAATGCAAAACAGTATGGGGCTTCCCCCAAGAGGCGATTCCTCCAGAATGATGGATTTGTGGGTTCCACGTTAATCTGCAGGGAAGTAGATTGCGCCCTTGATGCTTGTTTTTGTGTTGTTTTGTTGTTCTTGTTTTTCGGTTTTAGGGCTACGGCAGCCTCCTATATGACACTAGGGGAATCCTGTCTAAACTGATGAAGTAGTCATGGGCCCGGGCCACTTGGTAGTATCACAGGGGATATTCTCTACATCCATGAACATGACTGGTGATGTTCATCGTTTCAAGTGCTGTGCACATCTCGTGCTCAGTTGATGAACAACAACTGGGAAATTGGCTTGGCGCTCAGGATCCCTTCGCATGCAGAAGGCCATTTCTGAGAGCTTACAGGGGTCAAAGTTGCTTGGGGTTCGACTCGTATGCGTCTGGTGCACGAGCCCTACGGTTAGTGGAGCTTTGGAACCCGTGATGGGGCATTCAGCCAAGCATTACAGGGGGGAACCTGACTAGGACCCAGAAGCCGTGTTTGTTTGGGAGTGCCCTTTGAAAGGGGAAAAGGACCGCCGTGGCGCCATTTCTGGGGCTCCCCTTGCGGCACGCGGAACGTTTTGCCCGTGGCACCTGCAAACTCAGGCACCTTCCGAGCCTCAGGCTGGAGCTGGGAACGCATCAAGTGACATGAGTCATAGCTTCTGGAGGATGCGAAACAGTATTCTCTTGTTGATGGTACCCCTTTCGGGGTTGCTTGCAAGGGCAAAAAAAGGGAAACCACCCGTTTTGGGGTCCGGACCCTTCATTTGGATACAAGCTTGTTTACTCGGTGGTTCCCAGCCATCCGCTGGTGTTTAGATCTTTTTAGTGGGCTTAGTCGTAGTTTCCACTAAAGCCACTTAAACTTTTTCGACTTTTAGTGGAGGATCTGAAAACGGACAGCCCAGTATAGTATCTTAAGTGCATGGCAGGTGAACCGCTGGACGCCGCGTGTGTCATGACCACACCCTTTCGCCTCGTGGAGCAACAGGCTGGGTTTGTCTCAACATGAGCAGCGCTGATCAAATTAAAGTAGACCCCTGCTTGGCATGGAACCCAACAAACCAGAATCTTCAGAGGATTTTTTTGGAGGACCCCAGAACTTTTCTGGGTTCCATATTATCAGATTCCCATTACTTGGTAGTTTGGATTGGTGGTTTGGGGAATTGAACCCTTGCTTCTTGAGCGGGAAGCCCATTCTTGACCAAGCCACCGGTCCAAACCACCACCACCGATGAAATATCAGTGATGCGCAAGAGAGCGTGTTTTTGCCATGGATGTTTGAACGCCGATGACAAAATGTGTGTGAGTCAAAAAGGATACACCTTCGCTGTCCGAGTCATTAGTTTTAATCACCCTGAGTTCTCAGCTGTTCCGGGCGATGTGCTATGAATTTCATTGAACACCTCAAACAACATGGGCATAAATCCCCACCATGATGTCCACTAGTGGGGCCGCACAAAAAAAACCAATCCGTCAGTTGTTCAAAGCCGACCTTTGGAGCTTTTGGTTGTGCCTTCCTTGGTTCATGTTTAGGGGCGCCAAAAGGTCAAGCTTTTGTTTCCAGGTCCTGGCAAGTGGTGGTGCTCCTCTGGGTTTGCCTGTACCCAAGAAAGGCGGACCGTACCTACTCAAAACATGGGACACCCATTTACTCAGCCGATCCGAAGACCCGAAGACCCGAAGACCCGAGCCGCAGGTTCGGAACCTCAGCGCCCAGGCACTGCAGGCAGGGCCTGGGGCTCCGGACTTGCTGTGAATGGCTACGTCGGAATGGCACCCTCTTAATCGACCTGGGAGTAGCGTCCCAACAGAAAAAATATGACTTTGGAGCTTCCTTTCAGGAAGTTACTTCCAGTTTTTTTTTTGTTTGTTCGGGTACATTCCAGGTCCTTTCTTCAGGTTCTTTGTTTGGTTTTTAGGGTTTTAGGGTACATTCCAGTTTCTTCAGTTTTGTTTCCTCGTTTCATGGTCCTTTGTTTAGGGCACATTCTTCAACGAGTCCCTTTCTGGTCAAAGCCATGGCTCAGGTTCTGTGGACACGGGACACGCACCCCATCATGGTGCTGGGCTTTGTCTTGTCCGCGCAGGCATCCGGCAGTTTGAATGTTTGAAAGTTCTTAATGGGGTGGGGCATGCCGGAAGAAACAGATACACATATAACATTGTCTGTATGTATATATGTATACATGAATATACCTATATATATATACATGTATATGTGGTTACTACCCCCTCCCCCCCCCCCCAAAAGAAAACAAAGCAAAAAGAGAAAGAACACCAAAGGAAAGAAATGGAAAACCCAACTACCACAGTTGCATTGTTCAGTGTTTTGAGATTCAAGCTATAGAAGTACTCCTTCGGAATCATGAATCTTGAATCTTGAAGAAAAGCATCTTTAAAGCCAATTTGAGGTAAATGGATTTCAACCTTCCCCAGATCTTTCCCAGCATCTTGAATCTTGAATCTCATCCACTTGTAGTAAAGCGATTGGAAGCTCTAGCTCGAAAAGGGGCAAGTTTTCAGTATGAGAGCAGTAATTTGGCAGCTTCACGTGTCCGCAAAAGCTCTGCTATCGTTTGTTTACTCCCATCATTTGTGCAGGGAAACTCAGCAAACTTTCAATGAATTCATTCCTATCCAAATTGCTATGTGAGCTCGAAATCTATGATATCGAAGTCCATTATAAAGGTCCATGTCCTCGTGCAAATCCAGTTGCTGTCTAATTCAACTCTATCGAAATTACGTTGCGTTTTTATCTAGTTTGATGTTTTGAGATAGTGTCAGTGGCATTTATTGACAACCACCTATGAGAAGAATACCCAATTCAGAAAACGTGTGTCAAGTTCAAGCCAAAATTCACTTTAAGCAATTGCATGTCCATATACATTCCGAATAAGCAAACAAATCCCTCAACAAATGGCTTTATGTTTAATGTAGGACATGTATATCTAATATATATATATATATACACAGGCGTGTCTTGCTTGAGGGTTCCCCTTTCTGGGATTTCGGAAGTCAAACATGACCGGCATGAGGCCAGTGGCTTGATTGAATGGGGGGGGGCCTGTTAGACATGCTGACCAGTCACTAGTCTCGAAGTATTTCTAACAAACAATGACTACCAGCCCCTCCCAACAGGCGCTGAAAGCACCCGAGGCTCCACAGGCTTTAGAGGCTTGCCCCTCCTAACATAGCACCTGGAGGGTACTTAGATTGTCAGGTAGAAATCGCTATGGAAAGCAACCCTAGTTACAGAAAACTTACAACCATTGCCCTTGATGGGTTACAACCAGGGTTACTAGCCATGTAGCGATTCCTCCCAGACCATCTAGTCGGTCTTTCTGGTTGAGCCAGCCGGCGGCTCTCAGTTTGCTAGCGGTCTCTCGCAAATCTGCGCGGCCTCGAGCACCTTTCGCTTCCAGCCACACGAGTTGGGTGTGTGCAGTTCTAGGAACCCCCAAAACTCGGGTTTTCCGGTCGGTTTCCCTCTTGATCAACTTTTTGCAGGTACCTTTCTGTTGGTTTTAAAGGAACAAATCCAACAGCAGGCTTCCTTTTGAGCTTTTTGTTGAGGGCACCTCTCTTTCTTTTCTTTTTTTGTGGGGGGGTTTTTTGGGGGGGGTTGGGGGGGTTGAGAAGAAAAGGAGGTTGTTTGGGTTTTAAAGGGAAAAAGACACGACTTCCAGGAGGCTTCCGCCACCTTTTGGGTCTCCGAAGCCCGAGGCCGCCGACGCGCCGCGGACGCCGCCCGTCGCGCCCGTGTCGTCCCATCGGAGGCCGCTCCGGCGCGGCTGGCGGTCCTTGCGCCGCTGGGCTTGTGGACGCTGGGCGCCTGCAGGGTGCTGCAGGAGTGAAGACGTGTCAAGTTGGAAGCCGTTTGGGTGCTGAAAGGGAAGCCCAGGGAACGGTTTGTGGTTTTGGTTTTGAAGGGGAAGCCAAAGGAACCTGTTTGTTGAGTTGGTTTTGAAGGGAAGCCGAAGGAACGATTTTGAGACAAACCCAAGTTTTGAGACAAATCCAGTCGGAACTACCTGAAAAGGGGGGTTGTTTTGAAGGGAAGCCCAAAGGGACGATTTTGCGAACCTGATTGGCTAGACTTTTTAAGAGTTGGAGCCTAAAACGGGGATGGTGGACATGAATCCCCACCGCAATGTCCAACATAAGATTTTGCTGGAAATTCGACCCCCATTGAGGGTGGCTTTCTGGTTTGGTTCAAAGGCCATGTGTCCCAGTTTACACTCTCAGGTTCCAATCGAGTGGGAGGTCAATTTTAGTCAACTGCTTGACTCGGTGCCAATTCGTTTTGATGTCCATTGGTAGGAAATCCGGATTCTCATAGGGGCCCTGTGCCCAGAAGAGTTGCTTCAAGCCCGGGTTGACACTCTTCCAAGTGTTGGAAGCTGAAGGAGGCTGGGAAGGCTACAGTCCTGGGTGTGCCATAGATCGGAGAACCTTCAATTGGAGACTATCCTTGGTTGGCCTTCAAAGGAAATTAGAGATCGACTGATGTGTGGGAACATGTGAGAGTGCTGATCCAAATTACAATGTCTATTCACCTGCAGGTAGGCTATAGCTGGTCAATGCAAATGTGTGGTTCACTTGTTTATTAGCTATCTCTGAGACCATTTAGATGCTTACCCGCAGTTTTGTGAGAGGGTGGTGGAAGAAGCTCCCGAAAATACAATCCCATTCCTTGATGTCTTTCTTGAGGGACATGCTGGATTGCCACCTCAACCTTCCGCTTGGAGTTGCCGGGAAATTCGAGACATTCCCTACATATACGTCAACCGCCGAGAGGATGCGCTGATCGTTCGGCTGTCATAGAACCAAGAGGCAAGCCAAGTGTTTTCAGAGCCCCAAGCTGTGTGGCGCACCCGAGCAGTTTAGCTTTTGCGCAGTTTCATAAAGCATCATGCCTGCTAAGCTACCCCGCAATCCGTTGTCCTTGACTTCCTCATCCGATAGCTATCAACGTCGTCGGTTTGTCAGGATGTGCCGGCGGGGTATTCTTCCTTCACAGCGAGTGCCAAGACTTAGAGCGGATTTCGAGTTGCCACAGTGAGACCATTTGAGTCAAAACCTGGGTAAGTGCAGGTGAGTAAGGGACAGGCCCATGTATCTATCTATATATATATATATGGGATATCCACGCTCAATTTGATTCTTGACCATGGATTTTATACCCCTGCACCAGATTTCACAGGGTTCCGTATCATAGGATACATTTGAGCCAGCCAACATCCCAATGTAAAATGCATCCTCAGGGTTTTATTTCCCTTTGTGGAAGCTGTCAGTTGCACCCACTCCCAACCACAAATAGGTGCAGCCGCCGCTTTAATTAGACAGTTGGCAAGTTACTCAGTCAGGAAACACATCATAAGTTAGCCAATTTGATTTGATCAGCTTTTCACTATGACTCGAAAGGTGGTTTCATCATGCAAGCGCTTGGCAGCCGGCATAGGCACCTGCATAGCCGGTGGCGGTGGACCGACAGGACTCTTTCCCAGGCGAGCCAGAGGAAGGTGCTAGCAAACAAAAGTAAAAGACAAGTGGGCGTATTTTTGCTGGGTGAAAAAAAGAAACTCCAAAAACGAAATCAGTAAGTTTTGATTTTGGGGGTTGCTCTTGTTTGAGTTGAGCCCAGGTGGCAAAGGTTGCCATGCAATGTGAAGTTGAGAACATGATGAATGGGTATACGTTTTAATTGGCAGTGCAGCGAACACGTGGCCCATTGCTTAGAGCTCTTTCAGATGGGTCAGAGTCACTGCAAGCATTGCAGGCCTGGAGCACTTTTAGAAGGCCTGGTGCTATGTCAAGTTCTTACCACTTTCGTGCTGTTTGCACCGGCGCCTCCGGTTGTGCTTCACATGTGCCAGGAGTGATCGAAATCGAGACCGGCACGCTGGACGCGGGCACGCGACGAGCTTACAGCGCCCACTTTTCGCTTCCGCGGATGGGAAGCAAACTGCCCCAGGCCGTACGCCTTTGGCATTGAGTTCAACCTTCCCACGGGCCATTTAAGACAGTTTCGGCCTCAGGGTAGTTTGTGAGTACAGCTCCTGCAATGCAAGACTCCCAAAGACAATGCATTTCGAAGCAGTTGGCATGCCGAGTGCTTGGTGCAGGAATCGATGGTTTTTGGCAGTGGAGAATCAGGTTGCCGAATTTGAAGGACTGCTTGCAGTGTGTGTGTGTGTGTGTGTGTGTGTGTGTGTGTGTGTGTGTGTGTGTGTGTGTGTGTGTGTGTGTTTTGACATGTTCTATCCCATCGAAAGAGTGGAGCCACCCAGAGTATTTCACATCTGTACATTGGCTCAATCTGTCCAAGCTTGACGTTTCTGGATGTCTGTGAAGGTCTACATGTTTGCGGGTCAGAATTAAGCAACCAGAGGACCGCAGTTGTCTTTCTTCATGTGTGCATTTACCAGGGTTCCTTTTCGGATGCCAATTTTGACCCACAGCTACACTTACTTTGGTAATTCAAAGATCTGGGCACGAGCCGAAGGTTTCGGGCGGTCATATCCGAGCAGGATTGGACCTACTGCGCTTTGAGACTGTGGAGGTCCTGGCGTCCTTTCAAGGCCCAAGGGGCAGGTTGACTTTGTCCGCGAAGGTTCCCACTACCTGGAGTCTCCCTGGTCCTTAGAAAATAAGGTCGTTACCCAAAATGAAGGGGTCATGGACCCATTTTTCGAGGGTCATGGAGACTCCAGGTACAATCCGAGAAGCAAGGAAAAGCACGCGTACATAGCACTGACGAATTTGTTATGCCGTGTATGCTGGTAATGTGAATGGTTGGAACATCCATCATTATCAAATCACAACTCCGTGGGACATAGCAAAGCTATGTTCCCACCCCAAAGCGTGTCCCATGTTCATTGGGTTGGGTTCTATTCCAAGGGCCCTCTGAGTTGGGCCTCAGTTGCAAAAAACGGAACCTGGCACTGAACTTGAATCCGAGAGGCCTGGCAATGAATGGGCGGGCGGCTTAAACCGTTCTGCTCCTTGGAGTCTTGGGAGATGCTGAACTTAGTCAACGATCCAAGGCCTTTGCCCTACAACGACGTCAAGATATCCTTCACCCTTGCCGCGAATGCAACAGCCAAGCCCACAGATTGGCGTTAGACGATCTTGAGGAGCTCGAAGAAGCCAAGTATCCAAAGAAAGATGTGCTAACTACTGATTCTGTTTCTTGAGCTATGTCTTAACTTGACTCAGTTTTGCTGGGCCGAATGGCAATGTTTGCTTCCAGGCGTGTGCGGTTGATGACGTTTTGCCGATGCTTTGCTTGGAGCGATTCTAAGGCCAGGGCTAGCTTGGTGGTTGCCATCCCACAGATCTTCGTCGCGTCAGTGCAGGAGGGCCGAAGGGGCGTGCTCTCTCAGTCTCTATAATATGTTCCTTGTTAAGCCTTGCCCTTTTCAACATGACATGTTGGGGGCCATTTCAAGTGAGTCTTCTTTGGTGGTGATGTTTTTTTTCGGTTGGAAATATTGGGAACACTGTCTCTGCATCCGCAGGACAAAATAGGCGGCCTGCAGGATTGGTCCAAAAAGTGCAAGTCACAATCATCAAAGTGACCCCGCATTTCACTTCCAGGCATGTAATTACACTTGTTGTTGGGGGCCAGAAGTGAACAACGCCTCCAAGCGGTACCCGAACAACACCAGGAACGACAAGATGCTGCAAAAAAAAAAAATGAGAAGCAAACCGATAGACATTTTTTGCAAAAGATACCCGTCTTTGGGGTAACGCCGAACCACAACTTCGGGACGCGCACCGCGTGCGCAGGCGATTGCTGGAGCCTCAGCGCGGATCGAGCGCAAACCACGAGGAAGCGGCCGTTCGAATGATTCTCGTTTGGGTTTGCTTGTGAAGCTTGACAAGCTATGTGTTATGTTGGCGCAACGGCTTGACCTGATAGTTTTGGGGACGATTGCTAAAGTTAATTCAACTTGCGCGGTATTTGGCATTGGTTTTGGATGGCCAGATCTGGATGGTGCGGCTCATGCAGAGATATCGGCTCAAACATTTGCTTTGAAAAGAGTGCACACAGCACATGCAACTGTTCTGATATCCGATTTTCAGAGACCCATCGGATGATGTCGGTGTGGCATTTCTTCACCATGCTGAGCTGTTTCGCAATGTAACCGCCCTTTGCAATGGACAGCGTCGCTGAAGAGGCATCGGGTTTTGCCAAGGAATCAATAGCGCTAGGCTGAAGGCTGTAGAAGATGGTAGGGTTTGACTAATGTTGACTTGGGATAAATCCGGAGCGCCACCCAGAAATCCACACTGATCTGAATCGATTCCCCACTAAATTGAACGGATTCCCACTAAAGAGGGGCGGGGGGTTCTTGCCCCCGGCATGGTCTTCCTGTTATGAATCAATCCGAAGTCATTGGGAGCCCCTTCGGACAAATCGGTGGTGCCTGCCGAACACTGAAACCGATAGCTTGATGACAGAACTGCTACTCCAAACAGCGATAAGCCTGAAGACACAGACAAGCAGAGAAGCAGACAGATGGGCTTGAATCGAAACAGGTCCAGAATTGCCACCCTTGGCGATGGGTTAAAGACACTTTGCGGCTGTCAGGCACCATTGGAGAGGCGTCCAGAGGCTGTGGCAAAGCTTGCGACCCACATCCGACCGGGGTCCCCTTCTGGTAAAGCCAGCCACTGTGCCAGGGGCCATTTTGGGTGTAACCTGAAATTCCACCCTGCAATGCGTGTTGGACATGTTCGGGTTTTTGGGGGTTAAGGTGTTTTCAGGGCTCAAAGAGCTGGGCTTCCAAAGAGCTGTTAGCAATGGCACGACGACGGTAAGCACTCAAAGCTGAGGACACAGACCCACAGGTGGCCACTAAAGTGTCCCATGAAGGATCCGGCAGTGCATGATCGGCCGATCTTGGAACCGACCCAGCTCAATGGTATCCAGCAATTCCACATGGCCTTGTTTGGTTCAGGTTGCAGCGCCAGCCGCACCTGAGACATCAGCGCCACTTGGCATTTGAAGTTGCCCTCGCTGCTCGAAGCATATTTAATCTTTGGGATGAATGTCCTGCTGTGCCATGAAACAAACAAGCTCATGAGTCACTTCTTCACCATCCTTGCGCCGCAGCCCAGGACAGAGTCTCGCCACTGGGCTGATTGCTCCGTTTTTTTAGCAGCAAAGTCACAGTCTGTCGTTGGCTGCATTGGCTTCCGTTCAGTTTTGGTCGGGTGCTTCATTCGAGCCTCTAGTTTCGATTCATTCGGCCGAAAGCGGACAAGTATCAGTCTTAGGAGATGCTGATGAGGCTGAAAGTGGGACCTACAAGGCAGGGCACTCATGAAAGTAATGGCGCCAAGTCTTGGCGTGAACCAGCTCCTTCAATCATTCTCAGATGTGTGTATGTGTCATAGCAGTGGAACCCCAAAAATGCGGTTGTCCCTTGGCTTCCCTTGAAATTACCCCCAAAGGATACCCTCAACAACATGCACATGTGGTTGACTTGTTTTGACGGCCTGTCTTGACCCAATTAGCCAGTGCCCTGAGAGGAGAGTTCCCCTACTATCCAAGTACATGCGCCAGCAAGTCGTACCTCTGGGCCGGGAGGCACGGCGGGCACGTCGCATCCAGTCTTGGGGGAACCCCTTTTGTTAGGCTTCTGGGAAAGCAAAAGTAAACCAACTACCTATTTTGAGACAATCTGCGCATCAGTTTGAAGTGAGACGCCCAAATGGTTGGTGGACATACGTTTCAAACGCAAATGATGTGCCCCAAGGCTCGCAAACTAGGGCAGCAGAAGCTCGCACGGTTTTGAACTGGAGCTGGCATGGAACGTTTCTCTCACTTGCTTTTGAACTTTGGTTTCCCCTTGTTGGTCCATCGGTAGTCATGGCGAGTCGTGAAGGGGGCTGCGTTTTTCACATTCCTGGGGGCTGCGTTTGTTTCCCTTGACTGAACTCGCTCCTTATTTAATTGTTCTTAGTTTTAGTTAGAATTTAAGCTGAACTTGGTACATACACTAAGTAGAATTCATAAGAGATAACTTTGAGGTCACACAATTGCTAAATACACGTGGGTTGAATGTCTACTGATTTGCAAAGCCAATTCTATTGGAAAGGAAACCCCGTGCACCATTTATTCTGACATAGAATCATCGTTGAATTCCAAGTCAAAAGAAAGTTGGATGCTGTCCTTATTAGATGCCATTTAATGTGAGATAGAGATTATTTAGAGCTTGATAAGTGTATTAAGTAGCTTTCATAAGGAAATGAATTATCGGTCCCGAACATGTTGAATACATGTTTCTGTGTAACAGTGATTTTGAAGCATAATAATCAATATTCAAATTATACTTGTTCATCTAAATTCTGACTGGTGTTCGTCCTTATAAAGTTCTGCTCAATTTCAGTCAGAATTGTGATAAAGCTATTAAGTCATAAGGAAAGAATCCAGAGGTCCCCAAATCGTGTTTGTTTGCTTACTAGCCTCAGCACTACCATGGTCAGAAAACACCGTAAAACACAGTGTTTTGTAGCGGTTTCGTACTCGATTCACCTCTCCACCAGCAGCCGCTCTTTAAAACTCACTTTTAATTTGAAAAGGATTTGATTGGGACACTAAGGAATACTTGATCAGAATCGCACTTAGACTCTAGAAGGAGATCCTTTCCCAATAGAACTTTACAATTAGATTGGAGTTTACATATAATTTGCCAAATAATGAATTCAATCAAGGAAGGACTCCAATCACAGCTTCTTTGTTTAAATATTTTTTTTAGTTATAATGAGTCTATGTAAAAATGATAATTCTAACCAACCCCAGGTCTCGAACGAGCACACATTATTGTGTTTTTTGGTTTTTAGCCTCCACAAATCAAAAGAAACAAAGAACAACAGGTCTCGAACAAGCAGATGAAGATGATGGGCTTGGTGTTTTGTTTCTTTTTTGTTGTCTTTGCCTTTTTGTGTTGGTTCTGTTTGTTTTTTGGTAACGCAGCCCCGGGGAATCTGAAAAAACGCAACCCCAGGGCGTCCCCTTCTGAAAGGTAAACGGTCGTGTATTTGTGGGTTCTATGAGCAAGAATTCTTGACCCAGCAGGATGAGCTGACACGCGCAGCCGATTTGAGGCAATGTGCACACTTGCACCCCGCTGTCTCAACATCATTGTGAGACAACAGGCGTCCGACTAAGGTCAACTGTAGCGGCTGGAGGTCATGCAACACAGTATGCAACACCACTACGACAATCCATTTGCATAGTGCCCTCGAAGGGAGATCTCGCTGCTCCGTCTCCCAATGCCCCAGCCCAAGCCATCATCTTCATCCCATTTGCGAAACACTCCAACTGCCATGCCACAGTTTAACTTCAAGCTGAACATATGTTCTCTCATGTCTCATCATACCACTCAAGTTGCTCAGGCTGATGATTTGCACCCAGGCTGACGTTGTTGTGCCGGTTCAAAATGCAGTAACTGGGCGATCCTCAATATGAACCTCTGCTGGCTTGATTTTTTGGGAAACTAAGAGGAAAGCCATTGCTACGCAAGAGTGTTGCGCTGGCGCGTTCTTTCAGGAATGTTTTGACTCTCCAGCTTGCCGCTTGATGCGTTTTCAATCCCGGCGAAAAATCCAGAGTCAAAATCTTACTGGAATGGATGTACTAAGCGTCCTCCCGCTTTGCGGCAATCCTTGTTCATAGGGAGAGCGTGTTAGAGAAAGAGAAAGAGAGAGGGAGGGAGGGAGAGAGAGGGAGGGAGAGAGAGGGAGGGAGAGAGAAGGAGGGAGAGAGAGGGGGGCTTTTTTGGCAAAGACCAGACACATGGCTTTTGTCTTGCCCTCAAGTCGTTGGTGCGAGAGAGCTAGCATCTCAGTGAGCCAGGCAGCGATGCATCTCCCAGCCAGCCGTTGCTTCGTGGCCACGAGGCGCAAGCGCAAGGTTTTGCCTGTGGCAGAAGAGTTGCAGTGCTTTCAAACCGCATATCTCAAGCTGGATGTGATGGGTCATGAATGTATATGTGTGTGTTTTGTTTCCCGTCAAAAGGTAGGTTCTGAAATTGATGGGGGGGCTACAACTTGTTCCCTGCAAACCACTCATTCTTAGGGAGGGGGTTTTCTACAAATGGTTCCCGAACTCCAAATGGTTCCCTTCAAGCCGCTCATTTTTCGGCAGGGGTCGAATCGAAGCAGTTGTCTGGCCAGGCGCCACCGACGGCGACGGAGACAAGCGTTGTAGTATCACGTGCCGAGGCGCCGCAAAAGCGGGCCTCGTCTTGGGAGTTGATGCACTCCCCGAGTTCCGTTTCGGACTTTAGTCACTTTATGTTTGGATGGCAAGAGAAAGTTTGAACGTCTTCTGGCCAGTCCAGTGAGGAAGTAAGCCTTTTTTCTGGTCGTTTGAAAGGGAATCCAAAAGAAGACCACCCAAATTGGGGGTCGGTGAAAAGCTCTCGCTGGTTTGCTTCCGCTTGATTCCTTGCGGGCTAAAGGTTCTAGGTCTTTGTGACTCACAGGTCGAAGAAGCCGTGGAGGATATGCGCCAGTACGGTGCGTCGCTGGTGAAGCCTGTGGCCAATGCGGTGGAAGTTACCCGCGCGCACGGGGCATCCGTGCTTGAAAAAGGCAGGGTTGGCTCACCGATTTGAAGGGAACACGAACGAGTAACTAGCTCTTATTGAAATTCCTGAGGGTTTTTTTTCAGATTCTGTCCCTGGCAGCCGAATCGCTCTCAAGTATGCAGGGGCAATTCATAGGTCTGGTGTTTGGGCAGAGTAGCAGGCGTTTCACAAAGTTCTAGGGGTAGCTTCCCC